TTGTGAATAATTTTTTTGATGTATATCTGAATCTGATTTGCTAGTATTTTGTTCAGGATTTTGGAGTCTAAGTTCATCGAGGATCTTAGCCTGTAGTATGTTTCTTTATAGTGTGTTTTTCTGGTTTTGGAATTAGAACTATGCTGGTCTCATAAAACGAGTTTGGAAGTCTTCCTTCTTCTTTAACTTTTTTAAATAGTTTTAGGCACATGAGTATTTGTTCTTCTTTGAATGTTTGGTAAAACTCCCTTGTGAAGCCATCCAGGCCTGGGCTTTTGTTTGCTGGGAGAGTCTTGATTACATCTTCAATTACCTTAGCTCTTATTGGTCTGTTCAAGTTTTCTCTCTCTTCCCTGTTCAGTTTTGGGAGACTGTGTGTTTCTAGAAATTTGTGCATTTCACTTAGATTGTCAAATTTGTTGCCATATAATTGTTCATAGTAGTTGTTAATGAGCCTTTGTATTTCTGTGGTGTCAGTTGTTACTTCTCTTTCATTTCTGATTTTGTGTATTTGGGTTCTCTCTCTCTCTCTGTTTCGTGGTGAGTCTAGCCAAGGGTCCATCAATCTTTTTTATCTTTTCGAAAAACCAGCTCTTTGTTTCCTTCATCCTTTGAATTGTTTTTTTTTTGGACTCTATGTCATTTATTTCTGCTCGGATCTTTACTATTTCCTTCCTTCTACCTGCTCTAGGGTTTTCTTTTTGTTTGCTTTCTGTTCTTTAAGTTATGAGGTTAGATAGTCTATTAGATATTTTTCTTGTTTCTTGAGGTAGGCCTGTAGTGCTATGAACTTCCCTCTCAGAACTGCTTTTGCTGCATCCCATAGGTTTTGTGTTGTTTGTTAATTTTCATTGGTTTCTAAGAAGTTTTTAATTTCTTCCTTGATCATCTTGGTAACCCATTCATTGTTTACTAACATGCTATTTATCCTCCATGTGTTCAAATGTCTTTGCATGTTCTTGTTGCAGTTGATTTCTAGTTTCATGCCATTGTGATGTGAGAAGATGCTTGACATGATTTCAATCTTCTTGAACTTGTAGAGACTTAGTTTGTGTCCTGTCATGTGGTCTATCTTTGAGAATGTCCCATGTGCACTTAAGAAGAATGTGAATTCTGTGGTTTTGGGGTGTAATTCTCTATAGATATCTATTAAATCTATTTGGTCTAGTGCTTCATTTAGAGTCTCTGTTTCTTTGCTTTTATCTAGAGGATCTATCCAGTGATGTCAGCAGTTGCTGCCTTTAGGATTCTCTCTTTGTCTTTAATTTTTGGCATTTGAATTACTGTGTGTCTTATTGTGGGCCTGTTTGGGTTCTTCTTACTTGGGGCTCTCTGTGCTTCTTGAACTTGAATGCCTTTTTGTTTGCTTTGGAGATTTTTTTCCATCCCTTTACTTTCAACTTATATGAGTCTTTTGCTGTGAGGTGTGTCTCTTGTAAACAACATATAGATGAGTCATGCTTTCTTATCCAATCAGCTACTCTGTGTCTTTTTATCGAAGCATTCAATCCATTTACACTTAAGGTGATTATTGATATGTACTTATTTATTGCCATTTTTGTGTAGTGTGGCTATATTTTTCTTCCTATTTCTCCTGCAATTACAGCAGTCCTTTTAACTTTTCTTGCAGTGCTGGTTTGGTGCTAATGTATTCCCTTAGCCTTTTTTGTCTGGGAAGCTCTTTATTTGACCTTCTATTTTGAATGATAGCCTTGCTGGGTAGAGTAGTCTTGGATTCAGATCCTTGTTTTTCATGATGTTGATTACGCCATGCCATTCCCTTCTGGCCCGTGGTGTTTCTGTTGAGAAGTCAGCTGAGAGCCTTAAGGGGGTTCTTTTGTAGGTCACCTGTTGCTTATCTCTTGCTGCCTTTAGGATTCTCTCTTTGTCTTTAATTTTTGGCATTTGAATTACTGTGTGTCTTATTGTGGGCCTTTTTGGGTTCTTCTTACTTGGGGCTCTCTGTGCTTCTTGAACTTGAATGCCTTCTTCCTTCACCAAATTAGGGAAGTTTTCTGTCACTATTTCTTCAAATATATTCTGTAACCCTTGCTCATTTTCATCTTCTTCGAGGACTCCTATGATGTGAATATTATTACATTTCCAGTTGTCCCATAGTTCTCTTAAGCTGTGTTCCTGTTTGTTTGGTTTTTATCATCACCTGAGAACATTTTTCCATTTTTTGTTCAGATAGAGTGGGAGGGAGGGAGAGGAAGAGAGAGAGAGAGAGAGAGAGAGAAACATTGACGTGAAAGAGACATATCGAGTGGCTGCTACCCACACGACCAACTAGGACCGTGGACAAACTGAAGTCATGGTACATGCCCTTAATGGAAACCAAACCCGGGTCTCTATGGATCGCAGGCCGACACTCTAACTGCTGAGCCAAATTGGCCAGGGCTGTCTTCTTGTTTTTTAATTGTTTTTTTTCTTTTGGTTATCTGATTGGTTAATTTTTTCTACCCTGTCTTCCAATTCACTGATCCAGTCCTCAGCTTTCTCTACTCTGCTGTTTAGACCTTCCAATGTGTTCTTTATTTCTGCTTTTTTGTTCTTCATTTCTTCTTGGTGGTTTTTAATTTCCAATTGATTGATTTTCAACATTTCTGTGTCTTTACTCATGGTGTTGATGTCCTTATTCATGCTGTTGAGCTTCCTCAAGGTTATGGCTCTGAATTCTAGCTCTGTTAACTTGCTTAACTGCTCCTCATTGATCTCATCTTCAGTAGAGGTTGCTTGTTCTTTCATTTGGCATTTGTTTCTTTGTTTCACCATTTTGGCTATCACAGTAGGCTTTGGAGCCTGCCAAATTTTTCCTGTTGGTGTTGATGTTCTGCTGTTTGTGGCTCCCTTTCCTGGTTTTGGATGAGCGAGGGAGGACCCACTTGGAACACTACTGTCAAGTCTTACTTTCCTGGTTAGAGTTGCTAGCCCAGGAATGGTTCAGTTATCCTCTAGCTTTTTCCTGGAGGCTATCAGTAGGGATTACTTGAAAAGCCTTGGGTTCTCAGTTGAATGAAATACTCCCTCATGTGTTCAGCTTAAGGGATTTCCTGAGGGTGGGGCTGCTGCTGGTTGTTAATGAGCATCAATTTGCATTTCAATGGCCCTTGTGGGTGGGGTTGAATCTCCAAGGGAGGGGCTGCTGACTCTCCCCAGAGCCCTGGGAAGGAGTAAGATGGCCACTGTCCTGCATGGCTGCAATTCAGCAAAAGCTCTGAGCACCCTCCAAATCCCAAGTGTCCCCACACAGTTCCAGTCCAGTCTGCGCTCCCTCTGCAGGAGCCCAAGGTGTGTGGCTGTGGCTATTTTAGCCTCTGTCCCAGCTCTGGGCTATGGAGCCGCTTGAGACTTTAACCCCAAGGGCTCTGCTCACAGCTAAGGTGGGCTCCCAGCCCTCCTCTCCCACCTCCACAGTCCTACCAGGATCAAGTCAGGGTCCCTGGTTATATGATCCTCGCAAGCTGCTTTTCTGTTGCTTTTTCCCCGACAACTTGTTTTTATTTTAGTTGTAATTCCAGTTTGGTCCCAGGAGACAATCTATGTAGTTTCTATCTCTTCCGCCGCCATTTTGGAATATTAGCTCTGCTTGTTTTAGCATCTATGGAGGACACTGATTCTTCTGGGCTGCCACTAGAGGATTTTATCCACAGGTTAATGTTCAGACACTGTAGTGATGGTACATAGCAGATATGCATGGTATGTTACTTCGTAATTAAGTAGTAAGTTAAATGCTACTCGAAGGATGAACCAAAAAAAGAAATAGACACTTTCCTCATAAATGCTTTGCTTTTCTGTAGCTACTACAAATTCAAAGTGTAGGAGTTTGTACACATAAGTACAAAATAAAGATATTTCTACATTAAAAAATTATTTTCTTTTTCCATTAATGAAAATTTTATTCACTTTCTCACATAATATTGTTGATATTTTAGTTCTTCGGTAAAAATGTGTCTATTTGATTAGAGTGCAAACTTTAGGAAAAGGCTTTAATCAGCCCTTATGTTCAGGTTAGCAGATTTCTCTGTTTGCTTGCCAATGTAGGAGAAAGAAGCAAATCATAATAGAGAATATTGTGTACATTTTTGGGGTATTGTAGAAGTGGTCAGAATACTTAGATTTCAGCCCTATATTTATCATTTGTTGACTGTATGGCCTTGAGTAAGTAATTTAAACACTTAGATTCATAGTTTCCATGTCTCTAAAGTGAGTTTTGTGTGAGTAAAATTTAAATAATCAGATAAAACTAAACTAAATACTATATAAATGTATAATACTATTTGCATAGATGAGTTCATATTAGCATCTATATTCCCATGAAAACAGCAATTTCTTGGAAACAAGATTCTCCACATAAGATTATTATGGTTAGTATATTTATAATTTCACAGTCAGGCCTACTTATTATATACTTTAGAAACAATTTTGAGAACAAGCATCTAAAGATAAGATTTCTGGTGACCATTTTATTCACTTGATAGATCATCCTATTAACCTGAACATGTAATTCCTTAAGTATTACCATCTTTAAGAGTTCAAATGCCCAGTGAGAGTCTATATGGAAAGCTTTGTGTATAAAGTGCTATTATTATACATCCACACCAAGATTCTGCTGAGCTTTCAACATTTCACAAAAGAAAAATATTGGAGTATTAAGTGTTTGTTTTAGAAAGCAAGTGAAAAACCTCTTTAGACAGTCCTCTTTAAGTATTGACATTTTCTTTCAAAATTTAAGCAATAAATAATATTTGATAGTTACATGATTCTCTTTGGCAAGTCAGAACCATTTTTTAAAAAGTCGTCTCCTGACTTATGTATTCCAGAATATGTATAATGTCCTTTATTTATCAGTTGTATTAGTTCTCATTTCTTTTGTTTAAAACTGTAGGGTTTTATTTGTTTGTTTTTTAACTTCTTTTTTTATCCAAATGGTATTACTTTAAAGTAGATAGGCATGTGTGCAGCTTTGGTAACATTTACTTTAATTTTTTTAATTTTAGTGTGTTTGAAGAAACTGACACAGATTTACAGGAGCTTCAGGCCTCTATGGAGCAGTTACTTAGGGAAGAACCTGGGGAGGAGTACAGTGAAGAGGAGGAATCAGTCTTGAAGAACAGTGACATGGAGCAGACTGTGGATGGGACCGATCTGGCAGACGAGGAGGACAATCCCAGCAGTGGAAGTGCCCTAAATGAAGAGTGGCACTCGGGTGCGTGATCACGATTATGGTGGGCCTTTTCCTTTTTCAGTGTGTACACATATTTCAGGTAGAGGATATTTTTCTGATAGCTGATAGGAACTGTTTCCAATGTAAATAAAACTGAAGCTTGCTTCTGTGTCTGACTTGTATTCATTCTTTTTCTTTTCACACAAATGCACATGCACACTTGTTCCATTTCTTTCCCATTAAGTTATGGAAATGCTTTTTTGAAGCACTTTTCATCTGCTTCTTGTCAGATAATAATATTCATTTATTGACTTATTTTTTAGTAATAAAGATAATAACTTAGTTTCCTTAGCACTTTATGTTTTGCAAAGAGCTTCTACATACAGTGGTTAACCAGAAGGTTTAATACTAAAAGCAATTTTTAAAACTTTGGTTTAGAAACTATTCTTTATTCATAGCATTACCCTTAAGATGCAAAGAAAGTTTGTGTATTTCAATAGCTGTACTTTTTTCTAAGAAGAACTAATGTGAAAAGGAATGATTCTTTAGTAATTTTCTAAATTACTAAATTGTTCAAAGTAGCATTGGCATATACATGACATAAAACATACAGAACATTTATAATACTTTTTAGGTGCTTTACTAAAGTTTATGGTATGTGAAGTAGGTTGTATGCTTTCTGCATGCTTTTTTAAGTTTTGGCCCATGTTTAATATTTACTTTTTAAAATTTTTTATTTTATTTTCATTTTTATTCTCACCCGAGGGCATTTTTTTTTTTTCCATTGAATTTTAGGTAGACTGAAAAGGAGGGGGATGGGAGAGAGAGAGAGAGAAACATCATTGATGTGAGAGAGACATCAATTTGTTGCCTCCCACACAACCCTGACCAGGGCTGGGGATTGAACTTGCAACTGAGGTAGGTGCCCTTGACTGGGAATCGAACCCATGACTCTTTGGTCCGTGGGCCAATTCTCTAACCACTGAGCAAAACCAGACAAGGCATTAAGACGGATTTGTATACATTGATTACCTGTATAAATGACAAATAATTATGACAAACACTTTATATTTAAAGTACAAAGTAGCCTATTTTCTTATTTTTTATTGATTTTTAGAGAGAAGAAGGGATAGAGAGAAAGAGAAACATTGATTAGCTGCCTCCTGTATGTCCCCCCTACTGGGGGTTTAAGCCTGCAACCTGGAAATGTGCCCTGACTGGGAGTCGAACCGGAAACATTTCAGACGACAGCACCCATCCAGTTACACCACACGGGCTGGGGTCAAAGTAGTCCATTTCAATGACATTATTTACTTATCAAATGTTAGTCTATTAGGGTAATAATTATTTAATGTTTTAAATTATGAAATATCTTTTTTTTAATGTTTTTTAGATAACAGTGATGGTGAGATAACCAGTGAGTGTGAATATGATAGTGTCTTTAACCATTTAGAGGAACTGAGACTTCACCTGGAGCAGGAAATAGGCTTTGAAAAGTTCTTTGAAGTTTATGAGAAAATAAAGGTAAGTGAAATGTCAGTTAAAACATTCAATTTTGAAATATGCACTTTGAATTACTAGTGAAATGTCAGTGATTTTTGGTCAGTAGATTTATTGTAAATAATTAACAAACTCCAATTTGAGAAAGATAATATTCAAATATGACTTTATATTTGGAAATTTGGTATAGGCTGTTCATGAAGATGAAGATGAGAATATTGAGATTTGTTCAACAATAGCGCAGAATATTTTGGGAAACGAACATCAGCATCTTTATGCCAAGATTCTTCATTTAGTCATGGCAGATGGGGCCTATCAAGAAGGTAGGATTTCCTCACATCTTTACATTTTAAATAAATGTGTGAACAACAAATTGACATATATAAATTTATGACCTTCAGCAATATGTAAAGTTTCTCCTAAATAATACTTAAGGTAATCTCTTCCAGAGTAAGTAGAGTTCATCTCTAGTGATTTCAATGTAACCCATTTTTATATTTAAAAAATATTTACCTATAGAATCATTCAAAATATGTTAGGACTTTATTAAAAGTTATTATTTAACAATGGCTTTTTCTTAAATTTAGTCAAGAGCACTAAACATGGAACCAAGAGACCAGTGTCATAGTCCTGACTCTATAGGAGGCTAATAATGTGACATTGAGTGATTCATTTTGTCTTAAGTTTCAGTTTCCAGTCCTGTAAAAATAGAGATGAGCCCTGGCTGGTTTGGCTCAGTTGTTAGAGCATCGGCCCACAGACCAGTCACTCTCGGGTTCAATTCCTGTCAAGGGCACGTACCTCAGTTGCAGTTTGTCCCCCGCCCTGGTCAGAGTCATGCAGGAGGCAACCAGTCAATGTGTCCTTCTCATGTCCATGTTTCTCTCTCTCCTTTCTCCCTCTCTCTCCCTCCCACTCTATCTAAAGATAAATAAAAAAATATCCTCGGGTGAGGATTAAAAACAAGAAAGATGATCTCCAATCTAATGTACTTAGATTGGTTTTCAAAGTATTTATGGTGTGCTTTCCGTTTGCCTAGCACTCCATTACTCCTGACAGTGAAAGACCTGATCTTTGTTTACATGTCATTTATTGTTTCCTTGGGAAATAAGACATAAATATATGAAGGAAGGTGTAAATCTATATAGCCCTGGCTGGGAGCATCATCCTGTGCACCAGCAGTTCTCAACCTGTGGGTCGCAACTCCTTTTGGGGTCAAATGACCCTTTCACAGGGGTCACCTAAGACCATCGGAAAACACATATTTCCGATGGTCTTAGGAACCGAGACACCGCTCCTCTATCCGTCTCCAGGTGGGTCCGCCCAAATGCAGATATGCCCACACACAACGTGAGGAACTGTATTAAAGGGTAGCGGCATTAGGAAGGTTGAGAACCACTGCTGTGCACCAAAAGGTTCTGGGTTCCATTCATATATACCTAGGTTGAGGGTTCAATCCCTGGTCAGGACACATACAAGAGGCAACTGATCGATGTTTCTCACATCACTGTTTCTCTCTCTCTCTCTCTCTCTCTCTCTCTCTCTCTCTCTCTCTCTCCTTCCCTCCCTTCCTCTTCCCCCTCTGGCCTTCTCCCCCCACTCTTGTCTCTCTAAAAATCAATAAAACATATCCTCAGGTGAGGGTTAAAAAAACCACTATATACAAAAATGCTCATCCTCAACTGCTTTTTAGTGCGGTAGGAATTAGAGAAGTGGAGCTGGGACTGTGAAGAATGGGAAGAAATGTGGAGAGAACAGTTTGTGGGGAAAGCAAATGAACCAGTAGTTAATGTGCATTAAGAAGAAACTAATAGTATTCAAAGCTTCTTACTGAGAATTAGTCTTTGTTTTCCAACACTGTGAAGTCTTTAAAATACACAGAGGAAATCAGTGAAGATTTTTAAACTGAAAAAAAGTGACATGAATGAGGTGTTTTACAAAGTTCAATCTGACAGCAGTGTTGAGTGGTTTGGAGAGTACCAAGGTTGGAAATAGTCTGTTTGAGATTATATAGGTGTGCTTGGGCATGAGGTGATCAATACGTGGATTTAGTATTCACAGAAATAGGGCTGTTAATAGTCAGTTCTGGTATTTCAGAACAAGTCTTTTTGTAAAAAATATTTGCTACTTTGACTCATGAAAAATTAAGTTTGCTAAAATGAAATTCAATATATTTTTTTTAGTTTTTGAAACAGCTTTACAATTATGTACTTATTTACATTGACTTCTTAAAGTTTTATGATATATATTTTATAAAGTTCAGCAAAAAACATGTTTCTTTGAATTGCTTTAATGCAAGTAAGTCTTGTAAAAACTCTAATAGCTATTGATAAATCAAAACTAGAAAATCTTGCCCTGGCCCGTTTGGCTCAGCGGTGAGAGCGTCGACCTGCGGTCCGGAGAGACCCGGGTTCGGTTCCCGCTAAGGGCATGTGCCTCGGTTGCAGTTTGTCCCCGGCCCTGGTTGGTCGTGCGGGTGGCAACCACTCGATGTGTCCCTTTCACATCGATGTTTCTCTCTCTCTCTCTTCCTCTCTCTCCCTCCCACTCTATCTGTGCAAAAAATGGAAAAAAATGTCCTCGGGTGAGGATAAAAAAAAAAAAAAAAAAACTAGAAAATCTTCAGGTATCGTGAATACTATTATCTTACAGCTTCAAAAACCACTGTGTATAGCCTGGCCAGAGTGGTTCAGTTAGTTGAGTGTTGTCCTGTGCACCAAAAAGATGCCATTTGGATTCACAGTCAGGGCACATACCTGGGTTGCAGGTTTCATCCCCGGTTGGGTCACCTGCAGAAGACAACCAGTTGATGTTTCTCTCTCACATCGATGTTGCATTCTCTCTCTCTCTCTCTCTGAGCATGTCCTTAGGTGAGGATTAAGAAAAGATCACTATATTTTTAGTACTATTCTTCTTAACAGAATAACTGTCATAAAAAGGGTCATTAGCAACAAGTAATACATTGAATGTAAACCAGTCTTTCTTCATAAGCCAATGATTAGTGCTGCATTTATTTTTTGTTATGGTTTCCTTTGGCCCCCTAAGTAGTTAAGATTATGACAAATAAAAATAAAAGTAATGTTTTATATTAATGGTGGTTGCTATGAAATCTATCAATAGACACTTAAGGGAATTTCTATGTAAAAAATTGTTATAGAACTATAAAATAACACCATTTGGGGATGGAAATGTAAGAACTTAATGTAGAGATATAGACTTATTCTAATGAAGATGTTCCATTACACAAAATATCTTGAATGCTCTCTTCTGGAATTTCCCTGACAGCTTATATACCAGATTTTTTTATTGTCTCTCTTGATACGAATCCTCATTCTGGGAGCATTTACTGCTTTGGAAAAAGCTTAACGTTATTAAAATCAAGCTTAGTGAATGAAGTAGGTTATCAAGGTCAATAATATGTGGCCTTTTTGTTTTAGGTACCTTACCATGAAGTAAGGAGCCTAATTTTTTAAATGAATTCATAAACTGATTCTGATTATTTTGAACAAGAATATATTTCTAGAATGTTTGCCAAAAAATTCTATTACTTTAAATATATGATTTGTAGATTAAAATTAAGGATTTAAAATCTGGATGCTTAAATTTAACAATATAAATTTTTATATTTATTTATATTTTATCTTGTTCTCAAAAAGCTAAAGATTGCATTTAAAAATATATACAATACATGCCTGGCAGTGTGGCTTAGTGGTTGAGCATCAACACATGCACCAAGAGGTCACCAGTTCAATTCCTGGTCAGGGCACATGCCCAGGTTGTGGGCCAAATCCCCAATGGCATGAAGGAGGAGGCCCATCGATGTTCTCTCTCATTGATGTTTCTATCTCTCTCTCCCTTTCCCACTCTCTAAAATTCAATAAAGAACATAAATAAATAAATAAATAAATAAATAAATAAATAAATAAATAAAATCTATTTAAAAAATTTTTAAATAAATAAAAATATATACAAGATAAAATTAAGTACAAGCATTTGGGAAAAGTCGACGATCAGACAAATGGGTGCAAACAATATAACATTAAGCAAAGACTAAAGTAAGAATACAAAGTTTATTTCAAATGGTCTCTACATTTTGTGAAAATAAATCACAAATTTTGTGTTGATCTTTCCAGCAAAGCAGGAAACCTAATTAAGTACATGAGTCACAGTGTTTGGGAGACAAAACATGTCAGTTACTCAGAGGACAGCTATTTTTGGTATTGAAAGAAAGGAAAAAATTTCCCATGATTCTTAAAAAGAAGAGACTCTGATATAGTGTTTCTAAAGCTTGAATAACATGTTGATTCCTTTAAAGGGTAAAATTTTTTTTCAGACTCCAAGAATCTAAGTCTATAGATGTCAGTGAAAAACTCAAGTCTTAGTCATTGAAAATGTCTGTCAGTTGTGACTTATTATTATAAAGCAGATGTTTTTCCCCAAAATGTTAAAAGATTATTTTTATTATCAGAAAATTGAAAATGTAAAATTAAACATTATTTGGAACTTGTGGATTCCTGATTTTATTGAGATATTGAACCCCATTGTATAAAATAGCACTATAGTGGAATGAAAAATATCCTCAGTAATTTTTACAAATGTCAGATTTTATGGGGTACCTTCTGATAATATGGCATGGTATAAGTTACTGGCATAAGTCCAAGCTTGTAGTTTCTTAAGCAGGAAATATATTTATTTTAGATACTGTAATGTGTTTATTAATGAAATTCTACACAGCAGTTAAAACAAATGAACTAAGTTTTCATCTATCAATATGGATAAGCCCCATAAAAATGATCAGTTGAAAAAGTAGTAAGTACATGGTATCATTTATATAATGTTTAAAAGCCATTTTATTTAGGTATACATATATCTGATAAACGTGAAAAAACATGGAAGAGAAGGACACACATTAGATTCAGGATACTGATAATGCCCCTGGGGAAGAAGAGAGGTCAGTAAGGTTGGAAAGGGGTACTTTCTATCTGTAATACATTTTTTCTTAACAAATAATCCAAATCAATATAGCTACAAGTTAACTTTTATTAATTTGAGGTATTAGATACATGTGTATTCCTTACTTTATATTCTGGTCTTTCCTGATTATTTGAAACATTATGTAATTATTTTAAAAAATTAAATTGTAGCCCTGGCCAGTTTGGCTCAGCGGTTAGAGCGTTGGCCTGCGGTCCGGAGAGACCCGGGTTCGGTTCCCGCTAAGGGCATGTGCTTCGGTTGCAGTTTGTCCCCGGCCCTGGTTGGTCGAGCGGGTGGCAGCCACTCGATGTGTCCCTTCACGTTGATGTTTCTCTCTCTCTCTCCCTTCCTCTCTCTCCCTCCCACTCTATCTGTACAAAAAATGGAAAAGTATCCTCGGGTGAGGATAAAAAAAAATTAAATTGTAGTACATAGTGGTAATTCTAACATTATGAAGGAATATATGTTGCATTAGATAATTATCCAGCTATATTGGAAGAAATAAAGGTTTCTGGATAATTCTTCCTGGGGGGAGGACATCGGAGTTGGATTTTGAAAGATGAATGGGAATTTACTCCCAAGTCAATATCTGTACTTATACATAGAGGGATGCAAAATATTGCATAGGGAAACTATAAGCAATTCACTGTTACTAAAGCATAAATTATGGGAATGCTTAGGGAAGATGGGCAATGAAAGTAGATAAGGCTAAAAATATTTAAAAGGCCAGATAATGAAGGGTTTTGCAATCCATGTAAGGGACAGGTTCTATCCTGAGGCAGTAGGGATCTAGTGAAGGGTTTTAAGCAGTGCAGTGATTTGAGATGGCACTTTGAATATAATGAGTGATCAACTTTGCCAGTGTGTGGAAGATTGTGTTTGTTATCTCAGATTAAATTAACTGCTCTGTTTAATTCATTCAGCAGTATTTTTTTAGAATAATGAAAAGTTGGAAATACCCAAAATGTCTATAAGTAGAACTGCTTTATTTTGCCTTATCTATAAAATAAAATGCAATGCAGCCATTGAAATTGACATGGCCTATATCTATGACTTATTCTTTTTCAACATTTATTATAAAATTGTCATTGTATGGAAATGTTGAAAGAACTTTCCAGTTATTACCCATGTAACCACCACTTAGATTCTGCCATTAACATTTTATATATAATCTTGCTATACTACTTATTTATCTATCTTTTTGTCCATTATGTGTTTTAAGGGGAAAAACTCATGTCTCAACACTGCATTTTGTTGTAATTTTTAAAAAGATAGTTGTATATGCACAGGGAAAAATCTGAGAAGATTTGTATAAAATTATTAACATTGGTTGTCTTTAGCTTATAGATGATTTTTGCTTCCCACTTTATTCTTTATTGTATTGTCTGAATATTTAACATTATGGATATTATAATAAAATCTACTTTAAAGCTGTTTTCCTTTAGCATAAAAAAGTATGAGCTTTTTACAAGTAGATACATATAATAGATTTGTAATGAAATTAATTTTTTTCTTTTTTTACAGATAATGATGAATAATCTTCAGAACATTCTTTAATCCTCAACTGTATGAAAGCATTTAAATTTGGCTCATCAGAATAACAAGCTTCAGTGGGGAATGTAGCAGTTTTTTACAAATGATATATCAGATTTAAGATGGGCATGCTGATTGCATGAAAAAGATGGACAAACATGACATTTTCCCATTAAAATTCTAGTATTTTATCTATTTTATTTTGTTTGTTGAGTTCTGTAGTTACCTCCTACAGAATATATACTTTATTAAATCTTTCAACCAAAGCCTTAGAGAGACATTGATCCAGAACTGGACATAATTGAAGAAGATTTACCATGAAGTAAGATAACTTCTACTTTCAGCAAATGTCTTTATGTTGAAGGAATTACTTACGTTGTGAAAGACCTGTCTGTGGTTTTTTCATTTAAGTATTTAAATATGACCCTTTTTTTTTCTCTGTCTACTTGTTTTCATGACCAGCAATTAGGTATTAAATAACTTTATCAAAGGGCTCTATTTAAATCTTTACATTTTGAAGATGGAATTTTTAACCTTAAAGTTTATAGTCTCAGTCCTTTTTCAACCAGTGTGTCTCCTGAACTAGCTCAGTGAAAACAAGCTATATAGAAACAGTCTTAGAAATCGTTGCAAATTTTAATTATGAAAGAACAGCAAAATTGTATTTCCTGACGTTAAAAAAAAAAAAAAGTGGTTAATTACTCCTATTTCTTTTTAATGACCAGAAGCAGGAATATTATATCTAATAATTAGTCGGTGAATTTTAACGTTGACCTAGCACATAGCACAAAGTTTCCCTTTTTGTTTTTCATTTTCTCTCATGCATATGCTTATATGAGATTAAAAAGGAGAAAGGAGTCATTTTTGACACTGTGACAGTTTTGATAACTGTTATTCCATAGGGGGAAAATGTTTGTCTCTTTTGTTTCCATTATGAGAGGATCATTAAGATGATAGTCACAGAGCTTCAATTACAATATTCCAGGTATTACATGCTTTCATGAGTGACGTTGAAAGTCCAGATGCTTTTAGTAATAAAAGTAGTTTTTTTGAAACTTGAGTATAAAGTAGACTGATTGGCATAATCTATAATTTGAACAATAAAGTTTTATCTTGCAGCCCTATCAGTACTATGTTGAATCTATTATGCATATTATTTCTGACATCCAAAACTAAATACTTGATTTTTATACACTTGCTTATTTTGTGATATTACTATTAAATTTGTATTATATACCTGAACTACAATATTGGTTGTCATATATTTATTAGCACTATTCTCAATAGAATGCTTTTATGCAGAGCTGAGAACACTTGCGTTTCTTTTACCTGGTAATTTTCTTTCTTTCTTTTTTAGTGGAAGAATATTTATTTGAATTCTGTACTTTAATTCTCTATAATCCTGAAAGATGAGAATTATTTTTTAAGTCTTAACCTATTACAACTATTAGAAAAGCAAGTAAAAGTATATAAACATTGTTTAGCCATATATCAAATAGATCATATATACATACGAGACCAGGGATGACAAATAGGGTTTGTGTCATTTGTGTCATCTCCAGTCAACTGTGGTGAGTGGCTCTGGAGAGTTCTTACAAGAGGTTGTCTGTGCCCGTGGAGAAGAGGGATATTATTAGTCAGTAACATCCGTTATAGGTATTGGAAGTGATGTGTAGAAGCATTTATAAGAATGTTAGAGCTAGAATGGTCCAGCAAGGTAATTTAGTAGTATCTCCATTTAACAGGCAAGGCCACTGAGTTATAGCATGAATGAAGTCACTTGTGTAAATGACCAGCATCCGACCAGTTCCAGGTCTTACACGGTGCTATTAGTTACACATTCTTTTACAATTTATCTCATCTAGAGAGTGGAAAAGAATAGATTCAGTGGAGAAAAGTACACTTAGCATTAATGCATTAAGAATTTGAGAGTGTTTTTTTTTCTAAGATTAACACACTATTCTAGTTAACCTCCCTGCTAAACACACTTTTTTTTTTACTATCCTCACCTGAGGACATTTTTTTATTTTTTGTTCAGATGGAGTGGGAGGGAGGGAGAGAGAAGCATCGACGTGAAAGGGACATATCGAGTGCTGCCACCCACATGACCAACCAGGGCCGGGGACAAACTGCAACCGAGGTACATGTCCTTAGCGGGAACCGAAACCGGGTCTCCCTGGACCACAGGCCACCGCTCTAATCCCTGAGCCAAATCAGCCAGGGCTAAACACAATTTTTAAATGCTAAATATATTAATTCTACCTTTAATCACTATATTGATGATGGATCTTTTGAGATTGTGTGTGTGTTTGTGTGTATGAATATATCCCTAAAAACACAGAAGAGGTGAAAAGATGAATTGCAAGGCCAAAGCTTCAACCCAGATATTAGAGAATACTGGAGAGAAAAGGATACTTTTGACCTGTGAGTATGTCCAATACATCACTTTGGTATAGTGGGCTTATGAAGCAAAGAGGGTAAAAGGCAAGGACAAATGCCCATCCAAGCTGGAGAATCCTATAGGAAACCCTACATTAAGGGGAGACTACAAATGGAAGAATTAGAACTAAACCCAACCTCAAACCTAGGGACTGTAGGAAGATAAAAGAAAAAGGGGGGGGGGGGGGAATCCGTGAGAAATTAGGGCCACCAGGGACCAATCCTGCAACCTGGATGTGTGCTCTGACCGAGAATTGAACCTCATGACCTTTTGGTATATGCGATGATATTCCAGCCAACTGAGCCACACCAGCCAGGGCTAGTTTTGTATCTTGAGCACTAAAATCTGAGTGGGGAACTTTAGACTCAGACATGATTTGAAGTTCCCCATGAACCTGGCAGCAGCCATTCCAGTACCTCTCTGAAAGAAAGCACATTTACTTTGTGTCTTGAAAATCACCATACATAAATTTTTAAGGGCAATAACAGACACAGTCAAAGGTAAAATAATATACAAGAAATCAAGACAATGTAAGACAGGAACAGGATCTGTGCAAACTTTAGATTTGGAATTATCAGATGTATTATTATAAAACAACTATACTTACTGTGTTTTAAAATGATCGACAAATTTGAAAATATCGGCAGGGAAAGAAAAACTAAAAAGTAATACAGACTTGAAGAACCAAATAGGATTCATTTATATGAAAAATACAACAACCAAAAATGTAAAACTTAGTGAACATGCTTGGCAGCAAACTATACATGGCAGAAGAGAATTAAAAAACTGGAATAAATTACTCATAGCAGAGTGAGAAAAAAGATGGAAAGTACAGAAAAGAAGGTAAGAGATTCAATGAGAATGTCTAATGTATGTTTGATTGGAGTCTTACAGATAAAGAATGGGGTAAATTTATTGAGAGGGAAAGACAGAGTTTTTGCAAACTATTGCAAGACATCAGTCCACAAGATGGAAGAAGCCCAGTGAGTTTCAAGCAGAATGAAGTAAAAGAAATGAATGCCTAGTATCTTCAGAGTGAAACTGGAAAATCAAAGACAAAAGAACTTAAAAGAAGTTGAAGATAAAAAGGCATACTACCTTTAAAGGAATGTTAAAGACTAACAGTTGGCTTTTCAACTGTAGTAATGTAACAGTGGGATGGTATCTTCTTCTATGGGCCAAAAGAAAATAATTGTCATTCCAGAATTATATATGTACCAAAAATGTACTTCACAAATGAATAAAAATGATTTGACTTTCAGTACTGGCCATGTTGAAGTAAAAAGGAGAGGATTTACCTTCCCACTTGTAACAACTCAAACACTGGACAAAGTACATGAACCAATGCTTTTCAGACAGTGGACAACAGAACAAAGGGCATGATCCGTAAAAGAAGGGAAATAAATGAGATAAGCCCTGTGACTGCTATTGCAGAGAAATAGCATAGGGACCAGGGGACCCATACAAAACCCAGGGTTCTCCCTAAATTGCAGAGATAGAAATTAGATTTAAGAGAGGTGCCATAGCCCTGGCCAGTTTGGCTCAGCGGTTAGAGTGTCGGCCTGCGGTCCGGAGAGGCCCGGGTTCAGTTCCCGCTAAGGGCATGTGCTTCGGTTGCAGTTTGTCCCCGGCCCTGGTTGGTCGTGTGGGTGGCAGCCACTCGATGTGTCCCTTCACATCGATGTTTCTCTCTCTCTCTCCCTTCCTCCCTCTCTCTCCCATTCTATCTGTACAAAAAATGGAAAAATACCCTCGGGTGAGGATTAAAAAAAAAAAAGAGAGGTGCCATAATTTTCAGGGCAGAGTACTAGAAAGGAGAGAGGTGCACAGAAGAGCTATAAAATCCCCAAATGTTTGGAAACTCAACACATTTCTAAATGTCTAATGGATCAAGTAGAAATCACAGCTAAAATTAGAAAATACTTTGAACTTAATGAAAATTAAAATGTGACATAGTCAAATTTATATGATGTATCAAAAGCAGAGCTTAGAGTGAAATTTATAGTATAAAACACTTATATTGTAAAAGAAGTAATTCAGTGACTTAAACTTCTACCTTATAAACCCCAAAGAGAAAAAAAGTAAAAACCCCAAGCAAGCACAAAAATGGAAGTGATTTTTCTTGAAAAGCCACAGAAATAAATGAAATGTAAGCAAAGTCAGAGAGGCCAATCACTACTTCTTTAAGAACATCAATAAAATTGATAAATCTATAGAAATATTAGGAACAAGAGAAGGTACATCACTACAGATCTAAAAGACATGAATAATAAGGAAATATTGATAATTTATTCCAATACAGTCGTCCCTTGCCACTTCGCGCTTTGATTTTCACGGCTTCATTCTATTGTGGTTTTTTTTCAAATATATTCATTAAGAAGTTGATTGAGGCAGTGAAAATGATACAGCGCGTGCTCGGTTGCCTGAGTCAACTGTAGGCCTATATATTCGAGCACCCCCGCAAATCCTTCAATGCCAGGTGCAACCGCTTGACCTCTCCTTGTGTGGGGGCAGTAACTTTTTTCCAAAAAATCAGGTGTGAAACCTATCCTATCCCCTTCCTATCCTGGCCACTGATTGGCTCAGCCTCGTGCAAGTTTGTTTCTCTCATACACGCTTCTACATCGCTACACATCAGAAGCATCTTTGCTCTTGTGTTTGCAATTTCTGAGAACTTTTATCTAAGCCCCACAATGGCTCCCAAACGTGCTGCTTGTTCTAAGCCTTCTGATGATGAAACTAAGCACCAGAAGAAGATGCTTACCATCCAGGAGAAGGTGAAACTCTTGGATATGATCAAAGATGGCAAGAAAATTGTGGAGGTTGCCCACCATTATGACTTGAATGAGTCTACCATTCACTTCATCTATAAAGATGAAAAGAACATCTGTGCAATGGCTACTGTCTCTTTCTACAAGGAAGCAAAGTACGTTGTGACAAGTAGTAATAAGTCCATAGTGAAAATGGAGTCTGCCCTAGCCATTTGGATCAGCGACAGCCGCAAGAAAAACATTCTGTTGGATTTGCTGGTCATCCGGGAGAAGGCGAGGCAGCTCTATCAGTGCTTTACGGCAGACGAACCTCAACCAAGACCCTCTTCTGCAACATTCATGGATTTCAGAGCGAGCAAGGGTTAGTTTGAGAAGTTCTAGAAGAGGTATCATCTGAAGAGTGTTGTTCTCCACGGAGAAGCTGCCTCTGCTGACCAGCCTACAGCAGAGGACTACATGAACAACACGTTCCAGAAGATCCTTGAAGAGGGCGAGAATCATCCAGAACAGATATTCAATATGGACAAAACAGGACTGTTATGGAAAAGAATGCCTTCCCGGACATTCATTTTCAAGGATGAGGCCAACGTCCATGGCTTCACGGTGTGTAAGGATCACGTGACTATCATTATGTGTGGAAATGCTGAGGGATTTTTGCTATAAGGCCAAGAACCCTGGGGCCCTGAAGAGTGAAAACAAGAACCTGCTGCCAGTGCACTGGATGCTCAACGACAAGGGCTGGATCATGAGGCAGCTGTCATCAGACCGGTTCCACGAGTGCTTCATCCCCCAAGCTGTATCTCAAGGAGTAGGGACTCAAATTTAATGTCCTCCTCATGGACAATGCTGGAGGTCATGCATAAGACCTATCCTACGACAGTGTGCGGATTGAGTTCCTTCCTCCCAACTCCACTTCCCTGATCCAGCCCATGGATCAAGGCGTTA